GTCACGTGACTTCCGCTGTCGTAACAGTGTGTTATTATCTATATTAATTTCCAGAAAGATAAAACAGTATAGTTTACTTATAGAATTTAGTTTGCACTTGGAGAAATGTGCAGTAGAAAATGAACAGCAAGTTTGTATAATAAGTAAGATAGAGAGTTTATTTTAACTTGGGGAGAGAGATAATCAAAGATGGATAGTGATTATATTTTTAAAGATGACCAAACAAAATTAAAAGATTGAAATCATGCTTTATTTACTCTTGGAGAGACAAGTGCAGTAAGTATGTACATGTATATCCATTTAGAAATATGTAACTAAAAATAAAAAAGTTCATTTAATGAAACGTTTGCTAATAGGATTAAAGTTTATAGATTTTGTTGAAGGCAATCGGCAATATTTTGTTATAGGACAAGTTTTAATAGTCCTATAGTCCGAAGAGGGCCCCCAGTGGCACAGCGGTATGTCTGCGGACTTACAACGCTAGAATCCGGGTTTCGATATCCGCGGTGAGCAGAGCACAGGTAGCCCATTGTGTAGCTTTGTGCTTAACTTCAAACAAACAAGCAGTCCGAAGAAGTTTTGGAATGTGTTTTACAAACTTTTTTTATAGTTAAAAAATCTTCTTCAATGATAAATGACGGATTTAAGTTAATGGGTCTTGTTTTGAAATGAAAAGAAATTTTCACTCGCATCGATTTTTTTAAAGGTAATAGCTTATTTGGGGTTAATGGATGTTTTTTTTTTGGATGGGGTGGGTGGGTTGAGGTGCGTGGGACAGAAACAATAATTTGTATTAAAGAATCTTCTTAGAATGACACAAGGCCAGATAAAGAAATGAACGTCAGAAATTGGGAATGATAATTTCTTAGGTTTCAATAAATAATCCAATAATTTAGAGTGGTTGTTTTAACGACTGTTATATTCATAACATCAACTTTAATCAAACTTGGGCTTTTGTTTTACAGGTCATACAGAGAAGGAAAGATGGTTCTGTTAATTTCTTGCGAGAGTGGAATGAATATAAGTACGGATTTGGGAACATAGGGGGCGAACTATGGTTAGGTAAAGCATCTAAACGTATTATATTTCTTCGTATAGTTACAGTTGACATAGTTATTTAATTGTTTCAAAGGTTACAAAGTTGTCATTCTTTGCTCATCTCAGCCATGATAAGTTGATCATAGTTTGAAATTCAGTGGTACTGTTAGCTGGTTGTTTAGTTTTCATTTTTTTAAAAATGAACAGGGCTTCTTTATTTCCTTAACATTTATCCATCTATTGTTATGGTGTGAACGCCTTTTATAAGCTGTCGATGCATGATTATAATTAACCATATTTGTCATAAGATATTATTTTAAGCCTATTATATTTTTAACATTACATTCTTAGTCTAGTCCCTTGAAGATTTTCAAGAATCAGAAGTGTGTAAATTAATAGCGTTTCAGCCACACCTTATAAAAGTCGTTTACACCTTAACTAGTGTTGTTGTACCAAGTGGCCTAGATACGTAGCATTTCAACCTATACTGTATTCATGTATCCCAGTCGGCCTGAAGAGCTCTGGATTGAGCGAAACGCGTCAGCAGCAAAGAATATGACGAATGTATTGTGATTAAAATACTAATAATTTACAATCATCTGATTCTGGAAAATCTCCAAGGAATTAGATTAAGAATGTAGTGTTAAAAATATAGTAGGCCTAATATAAGGTCATGACAAGTATATATCTTCATTTGTCGCTGAGACTATTATTTTAAAGTGTTCGATGCTTAACTTTTCGCTATAGTCTTTGTTTAGATTGTTGTAAATTTCTGAGTTGTTAGAAGGGTTGCTTTGCACTTGCTCCTTGACTGTGGTAGCTAGGGTTCATGTCATTGACCTAATGTAGACATGACTAAATTATGGACACGTGTATTAATACTGTTACGTCTCCGCCTGTTAATTAATTTTTCCGTAACTTCGTTCCAACGAAACTTTAACGACACAAGTCTTTACTTAATAAAACTGGTTTATTATTTCCGAATACAACTTTACCGATACACTTAATCTCAATACTCGCGCTAAAACAACACTGTAACGAACGAACGTTAACTTCAACAATACGCTGTGACTGCAGTTCAATTACTCACTGTCTGTCTACACATTACATTCCCCTCTTTTATATACCAGCGTACCCTATTTCTAGTAATTACTAGACCATTCGCCAAGATACGGGATAGTTCTAGAAACAAGAGAGCGTGAGAATTGTCACGTGATCTCGATGACGCAACAATACATCACAAGCGAGCTTTTTGAAGGAGGTATCTTATCTTTGAAAAAGAATAAATTACGTATTCGTTTCTTCGGTTTGAAAATTACTCTTTGGCTCACTTGGAGATTATTTCATTGTAAAATGTATTTTCCTTTTAGCTTGATGCTATGAGAACCATTGAAGGGTTTCACCAAGGTTATAGGATACTTGGGAAAGTCGAAGTCTGAAATCTTGGGTTGTAAACTTTATGAAGATATTTAAAAATACCTTTGTTGATGAATGATAGAGGGAAGACATTCTAATCAAGTATTTTTTGGTATTGGTTACTTCATCGTGAGAATTAAAGTAAGAGCTAATATGTTTATAAGTTCTATGAATTAGAAAGCTTATTAAATTCATTTTTAACAGTCAGGCATAAATGTACTGAAATGATAATAAAGATCAGAAGATGTTGGTTTGTGATAATGTTGACCTTTAGAACATAGACCTAAGAAAACTTTGAAACCTTCGTATAGTTAATCTCAGATATTTCATTTATCTACGAGTTTTACACATTCATTTTGAGTGACAGTAGTTTCCTTCGTTTAAATGGAAATGTAATAAAATATTTATGCAGTGATGAATATATTCTCTCCTTTGTCAGATATTTGTTTAATGAGTTACAATAATTGTCATATGCTGGATTAATTCATTTTAAAATAATTATAATGGAACGGAAGTTGTCTTTTGTCTTTATCAAAATATCTGCTGTGAAAATGATTCATTGTTTTTGTATCAGGAAATGAGAACATTCATCTGTTAACGAGCCAAACCCTCAATGAACTGAGAATTGATTTGAATGATTTTGAAGATGGACACGTCTATGCCAAATATGCTGGGTTTGCCATAGGGAATGAAAAAGAAAACTACATGATTAAAGTACTGGGGGCGGTATCTGGAGATGCTGGTAAGAAATAAAACCAGAATAATTATCTGAAGAGCAAAATATCAAATAAAACAACAATTAGCTTCACATTATAATATGGGTGAATTATACTTAAGATTATAGTGATTCAGATGCGAAAGATAAAAATTCAATTCTTTCGGATAAACACTGTATCATAACTTATCATAACAGGAAAAGTCACACTATAGCTTCTGTAAACCCTATAATCATTATTTCTGAGGGATATTTTGTTATTCTAGTAGTTTGGTGGTCTATTTTTAGACTTAATGCGAATACGTCAACATTCCACAAAATAGGCCGACACTTACACAAGTTAAGTTGATAGAAGTTACAGAAGCAAGCTTAAATTAATATACAAGGAAAATATATAGCATTTTACAAAGTTTTAAATATTATTTTAAAATATTTTGGTTTCATTAGAATTATAGAACATGGTCATGAAAATTGTATAAAGAATCGCAGAAGCGTGAAACCTAGATTCTAAGATTTCAGTAGAAAAATATAGTGATGTCACTATTATCTAACATATGATATGCTCTATAAAGTTGCACACACAGTGAAAAAATACATTGATTCTACTGCACAACCAATATATTGATAATAGCAGAGAACTGAGATTATGAAAACAACTGTAGGGACATATCATTACACCATAGGCGATGCTTATCATATAATGACGTAACGTTGCGGCAATACGTACGATATATCATCCAGTTTAAAATAAAATGTCTAGATCAAGTTCCACTATAAGTTTACCATGTGCGGAATTGATTAAACTTCAACGTTGTTGTAATACTATCAAAAAACAAAAGCTTCAGTCGAATCTTACACGAAATGCTCTACCTGGTCAAAATCTGTTGCCTTAAGGAATTATACACATCAGCTAAAGTTAACAGACCAAAGTTTGCCATAAGTAAAAGTCAGAATTATGCACATTAACTGAATTTTGTACCCTGTAAAATTTAGGACTGTACAAATTCATTTTGCAGGAAAGTTGTATGCTAACTGTAATGCTACTACTGTAAACTGCTAGATTGGCAAATATTCCTCTTAAATTAATAATTTATTCTATCCTTCTTTCTCTTGAAGGCGACAGTATGAGCTACCATTCTTCCATGCCTTTCTCCACAAAAGATGTCGACAATGATTTCTGGCCAGGTGGAAACTGTGCTGAGGAACACACTGGTGGATGGTGGTATAATCAATGTGATGCTTGCAACCTTAATGGACAATACTTGAATGGGTTAACGCAACAAGAATATCAGGGGGTGTACTGGTATGAATGGCAGGGGCCAAGCTATTCACTTCGAGCAACATCAATGAAGATACGACCTCTTGTAAGGAACTAACAGATCTCTTCAAACAAATTTCCTATGCTTTTCCTCGCAAAAATAAATCTTTTCGAAATTGTTTTACAAACTATCATATGAGTTATTATTTTCCAGCAACTTTACTGCGATAATTGTTGTAAGAAATATTGTTTTCAAATAAGTGCAGTTTTTTGTTTTTTTTTTACAAATATACTACAGCTTTACGTGTAAGGTCTTATATCTATGAATAATTTTAAAGAGCCTAAAAAGTGAATAATAGTTATCTTTTAACAATGAAAACAAGAATACACAATTCTGTATATTTCTCTATATTTAGATACATTCGTTACAAATATTCCTGTGATCGCCTACTTGATGAAAGGACCACAGCTTTCATATGCAGACCTAAGTCTTAAAAACTAAACTACTATATCCTATCTTTCAACCACTCGTCTTTCAATGCATAACATACGAATTACATCTATAGCCTTTCTTTTAACGAAATAACAACTAGTATTCAGACGAAATTACTGCAGACTTTCTTGTAAGGCCTCATCTCTAAAGAAATAACAAGAAAGAAAAAAAAACAGCCCTGAATAGTTCTACAAAGCCCAATAATTTATGTTGTTAAGTTGGATCTTTTCCCGTAAATGTGTTTTGTTTGTTTATTGTTAAGCGCAAAGCTACACAATGGGCTATTTGTGCTGTGCCCACCACTAATATAGAAAACCGGTTTTTAGCATTATTTAGTTTCAGACTTGTCACTGTCGTTTGGATCGAATTCACTAAAGCCATTTTGATAAGGACCTAATTAGTCAAGTAAACTTACTTTAGGGTTTTCTTCGATGTTAATCTGTTCAAACAAATGGTTGCAACATTCTTACAGGGGAAAGCATAATAAAGACAATGTTATATTGCTTCTGCTCTCCGAATTTTACAAGTAAATTTAAATGATCACACACAGGTAAATATTCTTGTTCACAGTGGTACAGCCAATTATTTTTAATTGTATCACACTTCATTCAATGGGTCAAGCCAATCATTTTGAAAGTCACGTCACTTATTTGTATACGCTTCTATTACAATTGGACTGTTGTGATGCCCTCAAACTGCTATAGCCCAGTGTAACTATATAACTTCGAATCTATAAATACTTCTTTACGTAGAAATAACGGGATTAAGCTTAACTGCAACGTGTATGAAATGTTATGTCAGATAATATATATATCAATGGAAATTATTTGTTATTTACCTCTGTTTAAATTGAACAAATTGTTTCTTCATTAAACTAACGTTTTTCCAAAACACGACTGTGAAGTATGAACTATTTACTTGGTTTCTCCGCATTTTTGTAGGCCTTAAAACGTTGAGTGAAAAAAAAAACCATCATTAAACAAAAGAAAAATTTCCTTTCACATGAAGAAGGTAGTGGTTGTAGAAATGAAGAAAAACATGATATCTGATAGATGAATGAAATGAATGTTTAACAATAATAACATAGTGTATTTTTTAATAAAGATATAACTGGAAAATTTATTTGAAATGTTTAATTATTCAAAATATCAAAACATCTCAAGATCCTTAGTAATTTCTCAAATAATTATCAGTATCTTTTAACAAACTGAAGAATACAGGCCAATGTAGTATGTTCTCTCATCAATAAAACTCTTCCTTATGCTTATAAATCATTGTTTGCCTACCTATTATTAAATTGATTTTAAGCAAGAGACCAGCTTAGTAGTCATACATCCTTATAGCTCAAGTAATAACATATATTTCTTCTAAAAATAACATGATTAAAATATCATACATATGAATCATATTAACATCCGTAGTATATTTTTAATATGTTGATATATGACACCATTAAACCAAGGTTTTTATGTGGTTATTTTGTCGTTCAGCGCCAAATTACACGATGGGCTATTTGTGCTTTGCCCACCGCTGCTATGAAAACCTCATTTTTAGCATTCTAAACCTTCAGACTCACTGTTGAACTACTTGAGGACATCAAGGCTCGTGTATTGAGGTCGTGCATGCATTATAAAAGTGATAGTGTCATGATATAAAAGACTGTCTGGTTTAAATATTAGTGATTAATTTATATTTGTGAGTGAACGCTTTATTATTTTTAAGTTTTGTTATACTAAGAGTTAAAAGCAGACGATTGTAGAAGGTTTTGTTAATAACTAATTGGTGTCGATATTATAGAGAGTGGCCAGATGACTATGTATTAAAGATATAAATAGCGTGAGACGAGCAGAAAGCAGCAGACGGACAACAATAGACAGATAATAGGAAAAGAGAATATAGGTGTGTGAAGTTAAGTACCGTAGATGTGATAGGTCTAATGATTGACATATGCCTAAGTTTAATATGTTAGAGTGAAACTAATAATATAAAAAACGATAAGAAGAATAATTTTATTCCGTCAAAGCATGGTTCTAAAGTAATTGAATCAGTCTGGTACACTTTGGCTAAAGGAACAGAGAATCTTCAGAAGAAAGAAGACCAAACGAATTACGGTAACTTGCGTCACAACTGTAAGTGAATCACACACAGAGTACTAGTACGATAGTAATATAGAGAAGTTAGTTCGACTTTTTAACTGAAATTCTAAAGTAATTGAATAGGTCTAAGTGAACTTTTGACAACAAGAAGAAAACTACATATAAATAGTGTTTATGATACACCTGTAATCTCTATAGTGTAAAGACTTTGTTGTACATACATTTAACTTGTTCCGAATATATACACAGCGTGGTCACAAGTAAATAGACACCACCTTTTCAGAAGAAATTAAAATTTTCAGTCATATTCACATGAATTGATATATTTATAATTTAATTAATATCTAGTAGATCTTCTTTTCGCTTCGTGGAGTTTCGTTGATCCTTTGGAGCATCGTAAGAATCATCTCGTCAATTTTAGATTGTGGGATTTTTCGTCCACTCTTGCTTCAAAACTTGGAGTAGATCGCTCTTCGAAGTTGGTTTTTTTGGTTGTTTCTTGACTTACCGGTCGAGTATGGCCCAGAGGTTTTCGATGGGGTTCATGTCAGGGGATTGGCTAGCCTAGGGCAACTTCTGGATACCATCTTTTCCCTGCCAC